TAGTATTATTTTGTACTTTGTTTTGTAAGTTTTTTATATTTATATTTAATATGTATTTCCGTCCCTTTTTATAGGCATCTACATAAAAACTTAGATCTTTTTCCCATAGTTTATTCTTTTAATTACACTTCCATCATTTTGTATTTTAATTACATTTAAAATTCGTTTATTAGTTATAATAGTATTATTATGAGTTGTAAACTAATATATCGTAATGTGTGAAAATAATAAAAAACAATCRACGGAACGTCAATAATTATCACTGTTTCATCAGTTTTACTGGCATCTGTCGCGCGTATTTAAACTTAAAACTATTAAAATTTTTAAAGTTGTATTCATTCTAATACCAGAATACAGCTTTCGACATTTCCACCCGAGAGTTGACGACACTTAAAATATTGCGCGATAATTTAATAATCACCATTCATCGCAATAAAACGACAACGCGATACTGTACCGGAAATAAACTCTGAGACAATATCGTTTTTGTTGTACAGTTTTACACTTATTTAGGTATACTAATGACTTGCAGTGTTGGTAACTCACCGGACGATTGCGGCCGTTTCCCTTACCATCGGGCTTGATGACGTAATACTCGGTTTTGACGCTTTCCATCTCTCTGTCCAAGTAATCTGTGAAAACACCGAAAATGCCGGTCGTGAAAAACAGCGTCTCATTGGTACCCATTGGAAGTAAACAGTTCCGGTACCAGGGCCGTAGAAAGTGTGTATATATTTTTTCGTCACGGCAGAGCTCGTGTGGCGCGTATTATACCGTACACCGAATAATATTTAATGTTATAAAGTCGAACTTGTTTAACTCAAGCTTTTTTAATTCGAAATCGTTGATACCTTGAACATTTCATTTCCGGTCCCTAGGGTTTGTATCATTATCTTCAGAATATTTGAACCACTTTTTTGGGGGGTATTTTGACTCCGAGTTAATCAAGTCGGCTGTATTATTTATAAGTAGGGCTGGGATTTTTATGCACTTTGCATTGTTTTTCCAAAGCTTACTGTGCGATGCTCGTCTGGTCAAAMATTTTGTTTTATGTAGGTACTTATGAATRAGAATAAGAAAGTTTGTTTTGTATTTTTGGGATTTTTTAGTTTTTAGGTAATTTTCTTAATTTTTTRGGGCATTTTAGAGTTTTTGGAGGCATTTWTTGAGTTTTTGAAAACCAARTATGAATTTGAAATTTTATTATAAGATTTTTACTCCAACATGGGTTTTATACAAATATAATAGATTATAAGTAGGTAACTCGTAATTCGTATTATATTATCGGACAAGGTTTGAGTAACCTCTACCCGCATTTCCTGTTAAATAATCTTAAATCGGTATAATCGACGTTCGATGATATCTTCGACGTTCAGTACGAGTTTTGTCGTCGTAAACACCGTTTTATCACTAGTTAATTATTTTTGATAATTTAATATAAAAATGCCAAAAGTAAAATATTCGACAACGAGTGGACTGCATGCGTTTGTACAAGAATTTGGACATAAATATTTTTCCTATCGACGGATTGGTGTTATTGTGTAAAATATGCATTTTTTTGGTTTTTTAGGGTATTAAAATCCCAGCCCTTATTATAAGTATCGTAGGTAGTCGATAATACAATTTATATACGTGCGAYGCGGCAAAGTTTATATTATTGTTTATAATAAGGGAAAAATYTCGGCACAACAATTAATGAAGAACTTTATATTTATTTTCTACGTTAACGGTTATAATATTAAGCATMACTCGTCAGTGTTATTATCATAAGTTATTTTCGATTATTAATCACAACAAATTGCTATAATATACTGTGYAAGTCTTACCRTTGAGTAGATCCAGTTGCGACTTGAGGTTAAATTCTGCCATTTTGCGTTTGATCTCAAAATTGTATTTCGAATTTGAAATAACACACTTTGGAAAATATACAATGCAATTGATTTGAACGAAGGGATCCAGTCCGTCATAAATAATTGTTTATGCGCTTGTCGATATTAGCAACGCTTTTCTAGCCAGTCGAAGTTTATTGAATTGTTTTGATTTTACTGTTTCYTGCACACTGTAAAACTGTTTGGAATTACGTGCTATGGTTTTTGTTATATGATCGATTGAAAAGAGCGGAAAAATATTTTAAGAGTTGTATCTTTAACAAAAACATTTTAATAAATAAAAATACTTGTTAAAATGTTTAT